ACATACCTCCCGAGTAGCAGAAAGTTGTAAGGCCACTTCACACATGGCATCAGTGATCAGTTACCACTGCTAGGTGCCATTCTACCAGGAGGCTCTCATATTGTTGTGGCACTTGATTACCATCAACTCAACCTACAGGAAGAGGCTCTGTATTCGCCATACTGAAGACGTAGGAGTCTGTTCTGTGAGGCGGACCTATTCATAGTCTCATTGTATTGTCGTGATGAGGAGTCTTCTGTGACACTCGTCACTGCAAAATGTCCAATGTTGTTGTTCATGGGATCATGTTATGCCCAAGCTCCCCAGATTCTCCATCCCCTCCTGGACCTTCTAGTGTCATCTCGAAACTCTCAAGCCAAAATAGGTCTCCTTCATATGTGCAGTTTTATCATACTTGTTCTGAGCAGCGGTAGGTTACTGCCGTCCCATCCGGTTACGTGGAGAATACCTTTCTTAGATCGCGACTTTGCAGTTGCTTTGAATGCGCCCTTCAGGGGTAGCCGCATCCAGGATGTTCCCGTGGTGAGTTCATTTGGCCCGCCTCGCCCCCCCCCACCCCCCTCGCCATTGTTTTCGGATCAGTTCACCGGCACTTGGGCGGATCTGATGACTTTGAGTATTTATCGAGTCGTGTCGGACGCGTTGTTTGTCGCTGCCACGGCTAAGTCCCCGACAACAGGGGCTGAGAGTTTGATAGATATGATGCTCACTTCCCTCTGCAACATGTAGGCTCTACGCTTGGAATTGGTCCCGCTTGGATGGGAATGTGGTTCAGTAGATAGTCTGTGTTGCTCTCATTCTCGAGATTGTTGGTTCAATTCACCCTTTCAGCTCGGCGTATGTGAGGATCTTCTGCCTCGAGTCATGTATAAAGATCCTCAATCTTGTGGAACGGTTTTCGAAGCCCCACTGGTTGTTCAAAGGGCCTCTCAACCACAACGCTATATTCTTCCTCGTCGAGAGCCTCAACAATGTGGTAGGGCTCAGCCCATGTGCTGATTAAGTTCTCTAATAATGATATCAGATCCAATACCAATACGAGGGGAACCACCAACTGGTGTACTCGGTCCTCCGACATAAAGAGGTCTTCGACTCGCTCAAGCAGTTGAGGGTGAGCCGTTCATGTCTCGACTCGAGTGGAGCTCAACATGCTTCTGTCAGCTGCCTAAGTCGAGCCCTTCAACCTCTACAGTGCCCTCTATCGTTGAAGAATCGTCGATGGAAAGCGACAATGCTGCTGCAGGTCAGGAAAAGAGCTCACAGGAGACTAGTGAGTCCTGTACGGTCGCCCCCCTCTCGTTCACAGTACATGGCCTAGGCGCACAACAATCAGTGAATGAATTCGACGAGTATGGCAGAGCTGTTGGCAGCCCAGAATCACGAGTAAAGAAACAGACAGCGCTGATGCATCAGGCAGCAGGCGCTAGTGGTATGAACCCGATCCCACCCTAAATGAGCTGGGGTTATATCTTTATATAGGCGATCCTTCTGTTGCCGAGGACAAGTGGGTCCCGACAGATGCGTGGCTAGAAGAATGGAAGAACAAATTGATGCAGAAAATGGAAGCTATTTATCGTCTTTTCAACGCTCTGTATCCCAAGGTCGGTCTTGGTTATTCTTTCGTAACTACAGTATGTAGTTTTCAACAGATTGCTTCGGAATGCGAATCTGAAGGTGTAACGGACCAGAATGGTGTGTTAGAGCTGCTTAAGGATACGACCATGGTCGGGATCCTCCCCGTGCCACATCCAATAGTCATCAGAACCTACCAGCAGAATGCCTATACACAGCTCTGGTTCACGAGCTATCTTTGGGGTGTCATTTTTACGAGGTCCCAGGCATTGCCGTTGTACGACTGGAAGAAGATTCAGCTTATTTTGATCAATCAGTAGCAACATTTTTTCAACGCACCAAGCAAGAGCGTGTCTCATTGTGAATTTCCATCCCTGTTTGGTTCATTTCTAACTCTCGAGCCACTGAAGTTTTTTCGTCGACTCCAAAGACTCAATAAACAATGAGCGCCTTGTTCAACTTCCAGTCACTGCTAACGGTCATTCTCCTCACCATCTGCACATGTACATTGCTGAGACCCAAGTTTCCTTCGTTTATTGATAATCACAAGCCCGGTTTCGTAGGTAAGTAATACAATTGTAAAGCTTCCTTACGTCATCGCCGTCTTTGTTTCCAGGCTTCTTCGGTCGTTTTGCAGTCCTAGGAGAGCGATTGAGTGCGTACGTGTCGCTAGCGTGTATCATTATGGCAATAGTGACGTTATTTCTACGATAACTAAAGTCTCACTGCAATTGCCGCCACCATTTGTTGTTGAGTGCTCAGTGGAGAGTGTTTGCGAATTGGAAATCGAACCTGTTGCTTTCTCTCGAGTCTGTATGAATACTGGTTGGTAGAAACATATGTCATTTAAGAGAGCAGCAATGAGTACTCTACCAGTCTCTGCTGCATTGCCCAACACTCAATAGCACACTCAATGACGATCACCAGTCATAACAGCACGAGCATCCCAACTGAAGTAACTCGTTGCCTAACTGAACTATGCCACACTGAAGCAGGACCATCTAGCTGGGAAAGACCAACTGATAGTCGAAAAATTGTTGAAATCGTTCATCCCTAGACGATTGTATGCAAGTCTCAAGCCCTATGCCGACCACGTCAGCTTGTATAGTCAACGCAATAACAATTTGATGGAATCGTCAGTGTACAAATCACAAATGTGATGACCACAGAATCATCGCCACGTAGCCAGAGCTCTCTTGATGTGGCCGTGACTGCAATGACCTTCCATCAAAGTGGACCACCTCCTTCCATCCGTCACACACTGTTCTTCGCTTGCCCGAAGTGGAAGGTACCATTTCTGTCCCTCCCAGTGTACGTAATATCTGAACCCTCCCTCGGCCACAGCTTCGATGCCATCGCTTGATCGGCTTGATGTTGCCCGTTGGTCGACTGCGTCGTCAGGCTCGATCTTTAGCCGTTTCACTTTCATAGTGCCGAGATCTGGATAGTCGCTCGTCTCCCATGGTCGAACGATCATCCGACGCGCCTTGAGTACCGCCTCCGCATAGAAATCAGCAAGGCCACAGACGTCGGAGTTCCTTCCTCTGGAGCTCTCTTCGACTATTGCATTTATGAATTTGTTCAAGTCCTCGTACGTAGGCTGAACTCGCTTTACCCATGCCTCAATCACTTCACGGTCGAGTTGGGCATCTCGGACGTTCTTCCGTGCTGGGCACACAAGGTCAAACTCAGGGGTCCTCTTGACATACCGGAAGCCGTAAGAGAAACAATCGATGTCTCGCATAGTTGGCTGAATGACGATTCGAGGGGGGCAAGAATCTACTACTCCATCGTCAGCAGCCGAGGCCGGAATACTAGTCTGAGCAATCGAGCTCTCGTCTTCGCCAACTTTGACAAGGTCGGTCTCCGTCTCATTGTGAGTTGACTCAGCGTCCAGAGATGCTTGATGATTCTCAACATGCTCTCTGATGATCTCAACGGCATGGTGGCGACCAGATTGCCACGCTCCATCGACCGTTCCAAAAGCATTGATACTCGTGTACTCACCAGCAAGTCTGAGAGCTCCCTTGAATGCTCCCAAAGGCCTATCCAGACTATGCTGATCTTCTGAAAAACCGGGAAGTATCTTGCAGAAGGCAGTTTGAATGAGATTGTCGGTGATCAAATGCTTGGCCAGAGGCTCAGGGACAGTAGTGCAGCCTTTGAATAGACTTGTCAGTGCCACTTTAACGAATGCATGCCAGCCTTGGGGACTTCGAGACGTCGCCGAGGAGATACATGCGACCAATACTGCCTTGAACTGATATGCTCGCGGATAATACTTCGTAATATTGACGAACCGTAAGCAACTCATACTCGCAATCTTGAGGACTTCGAGGTCGTCCCAGCCTTGACACTCTGGTGATTTCCACTCCTCAGGAAACGGAGTCGGCTCTCCTTGGGCCCATGGTGCGACCTTGAAGGTGTAGATAAGACGTTCGTCGAAGCCGGCCCAGAGTTTCGACAACGATGCCCTCAGACGAGTGAGCTCCTCCTCGGGAATTCCCGATATTTGAAGGGCAGTAGCACCCATTGGTGAGGGAAGGACAGACACTGGATCAGCCCTTTGAACGATCGGTAGAGGTAAACAAATGATGACATTCTTACACAGAACAAACCTCACGTTGGAACCAAGACCGGGTAGGGTAAACCACACAACAGAGGTCCAATCATTGACACCGTGAGGGCCATCGATCTTCCTTACTCGAGCGCCGCAGATGACCTCGAGTCGAGACTGGTGGGTTTTCACCATGTTCACCACTTCTGACATCATAACGCCCCAGCCGATTTGACGGCCATCGTGGATGAATCCACCGTACCCGCGGGGTCGACCTTTTCCCTTCTTGTCATCCTTCGCAAATTGAGCCCAATCTCGAAGTGTACAGGCCAGGTCCTCGGGAACGCCATCACCGAGCTGCTGCTCCTTCTCGTCCAAACCTTTTGCGATCCACGTCGCCAGCTGCCCATGGTCAACTTGCCGCAAGGCGGACACAACCGTGAGGACGTCTCTGAATGCAAAGTCGAGAGCCTTGGGGCTGCTGCTGCTGGCTTCCTCTTTCGCAGCACTTCTCATATTCATGATTATCTTACGAGTGAGATACTCTGATTCAGTCATAGCACGGGACAAGTCTGGAGCCCCTGTATGCGTGAACTCCGCAGAACGCATGTAGTCGAGAACCGCCTCAGCTTCAGAGGTCTTTGACGCTCCATCACTCGTCTTCTCGGTGACAAAAATTAAGAATTGATTTTCCTTCACGATACCATCCCGGACCATTGACATGTAATGAGACCGGAATCGATCGTATAGGGGGAGGAAGGCGTCATCTTGGCATAGGAGTAGAAAGGACCCGACCACGCATGCTTGATGGAATGCGAAACAAGCGTCGACCATATCCCGACTAACGGGAGAGGTGCCAAAGAAGAAACCGGTATCGCCAGCCGTGAGGTTCTCCCAACGGAATTTCTTATCACATTTGATCTTGAGGCTATTGTGCAACAAGTTAGTAAGTTCGGAATCTTCGGGAGATGAAGTAGCGAACCAAGCGCAGGTGTTCACCGTGTTGATATTCTGAGGGAAATAATTCAATGTGTAATACAGTCGCCAGGATTCGAACCCGCGCAGATTGCCTTACATCAATCGGAACGCTACGAGTTGCCCTCCCTCCCAATTCCGTTGGGTTTGCCTCCAACAAGAGAGCATTGCTGTCCGGCCTGGCGATATCAGTGAAAGCAGTCGCTGCTGCCAATCCCGCGGTCCCACCACCGACGATGACCAAGTCGAACTTCCCTGAGAGGAGTAATTCGCAGCTCGACCGTCCCGAGCCCAGGGGAGCGTACCATAGCAATACTCATGATCCGATGCATCAAGTCGACTGCCTTGGCTGGGGAAGGCCTTCAGTGTGTGTTTCAAAGCTGTCGTGGGATCGATCTTCACTTCAGAGTCTTGAGATACTAGACTGAGGTAAGACCACGAGTCGAGAAGGGAACAAAGAGAAGCTGAAGGTTCTCACCGTATAGAAATCGAGTGGGCAGGAGATCCTCCATCAGCAGGTTCGTCGCCCAGTTGGGTGATACCATGTATAAAGCCATGCCATCGGCCATCCAGAAGAACTCGACGTCCTGAGAGACGTATAGGACAGCTCATTACCAGTTGGGAGCACCTCTTAGTTCTGCCCAGAACTTAGTCGACGCTCCTGTTGTATCAGGATTGAGCCTGTTCAGATCGATTGGTTTTATGCCATCGCGAGTGGGATCCCAACGACCACCAAGCTTCTCGTCGCTGATCCGTCGCCCGTTTCGAGAGGTCATAAGGCCTTACGCAAAAGCGGCTGCTCAACAAGGTGAAGATACATGATCAGGTTTCCTATCATTCCAAGTAGCACACATCGGGAGGACATGATGGGCGATGCTTGCCATAGTGCGGCATTCTGAAGGAGTTCCCGAAATAACGACGACCTGCATGCTCCTGTGCGGTACGTAACTGTGATGATTCACAATTATACAGGTGCGCACAGCGAAGAATTATATGAAATTCACATGATTGAAGTCGTATCATTGGTAGTATCAGTTTCATGGTTACTCCTTAAACCTCCAATTCGAAAAGCCCAAACACTTGATACCATTGTCGAGAGAGACACATACGCCGTTGCACGCATGCCCAAATGGTTACGCAGATTTCTGCTCATTCATTCGATGACGCGCTCCGATGACCAAGCACTACTGAGTCAACACTGACGGCTCAGCACTACGCACTGATCGGAAAACCACCACGCCTACCTATGCGCTCAGATTGATCATTGACAACGCCAGAAGAGCAACATGGATATGGAACAGTTCCTTTCTGATCACTCGCGTATACGGTCAAGAACGTCTGCACGCATGCGCTTGAGGAACACGCACGGATGTAGTAGGGCAAGAGTAAATCCTCAGTAAGCAGAGCAAGCACACTCAGTAAGCTCAGTAGCACGCAGCAAGCTTGCTTTCTCATGCACCCATACTGCGAAGATATGGCCCGTCAAGCTTCAATACAATCATGCGGCCAAGGATTAGCCAGGTACTCATGCTGTCACTGAACCATGGCTGTAAAGCAGCAGCGAGCTGATTCATGAAGCCGATGGTGTGAACACATGTAGCAAGATCATCGTGCCAAGATGAGATCCGCGATACAAGCATTACAAGTTCTCCAATTGACGCATATTGTATTCCGACCTACACCCGATTGTATTGTCACTCCGTTGACACGTGAATATTTTCTAAGCCTACAATGCCCAAAGCAAACTCACGTGATGCAAGAATGATACTCTAGTACCAGAACAACGCCAGATAATTCGGAGTGAACCATAACCTCCCAGCCATACGCATGGATTGCTGTTGAGATATAGAACTCAAACTCGCGACAAATGGTTGTGAGAAGTTAGATTGAAATCTCGTGCAGAGTGAAGCGGTAGCTGTCACTTACCGAGAGGGATAGTTCAGAAACATCTAAGGTAGGGCGGCGCATAAGACATACACCCGCATGCCCCATTAAGACAGATACTCACAGGATGTACAACGATGAGATGATGGAACTGAAAGGATGTACTTGCCTACTGCGAGTGGATAGCGAGCTTGCTCTCTCTCGCATCCATACTGCGGAGGTAGGGAGTATTAGGTTGAAGCATTTCCATTCTACCGACCCAGGCAGCGAAGCTATCACTGAGCCAAGACTCGAGAGCAACCAAGAACTGATTCTTAAAGCCGATAGTGTGTACGCCAGTAGCAATACGAGGATCATCATTCTGGAGCCTCCAGACGACCTCATCAGTGCACTTCTCGGAGGGCATGTCGAACAGGGTGAACAAAGGAGATGCCTTGCAACCAGCAGCAACACTGAAGTTAGTATCATTCATGGCACCAGGCTGGATAGTAAGAACACCAGTACCGAGAGTACGGCACTCATGGTCAAGGCATTTACCCCACTGGGTTAGGAAGCACTTCGAACTATAGTAAAAGGCGTTACCACTGCCAAGAGCATGTGCAACGATAGAGCTGATGATGCAGACACGACCCTTTCCACGAGGAACGAAGTGATGGGCCATGAAGTACTGTGAGAGCATCACTTGTTGGATAACATTCAGACGAATCTGAGTTTCCAACTTCTCCGGCTCGAGGTTGACGATATCACATGAATACATACCACCTGCATTTAGAACAGCAAGGGTGACTGGAAGATCATCAACAGCAGCACGGAGTTTGGCGAGACCCTCGTCACAGGACAGATCACAGGCGACGACGACAACCTTGCAACTCGGACCGTAGGTCTTCACCAGGGTATCCTTCAACTCGTTTAACAACTTCTCGCTACGGGCAGAGATCACAAGACTCCAACCTGCCTTGGCTAGCTTCATTGCGATTTGATGGCCCAAACCTTTGGACGCACCAGTAACAACAGCATACTCTTGACGAGTAGCCCTCACTGGCTTGAGCTTGTAAGGATAACCCATATTGAAGAGCGGCCGCTGGATGAGGTGGACTAGCAAGTTTAATAACAGGCCGATAAGAATAATAGGAGTACATAAAAGCATTATCAAGATCATGCAAACCCACTCCATGAAATTGAACGGGTAAGCACCCATCGAAAGGATAATAGGAAGGTTCTGCTTCTCAGCCATACTAATAATAATGAGAATTCAAATAAACAAGAACTGAGATGACTGAAGGTAGAACAATCAACATAATATTAAAGCCAATCGTCAGCTAACAATATATAGAACACTGCTTACCATACACTGCGACTAGCAGTAAGATTCACGAGCTAAATTAACGCAGCTCCGCGGGAGGGACATGTTGTGGCATACTTGCTAAATGTTCCCATTCATAAGGTACTGCTGTGCGACGATAGCATGGGTTGACAGACCCGTTTACAGACTTTTGAACGAAAGTCTAAAACTTCATGAAACTCACAACTTAGCTCCACTAAGATTGGCCATTAGCTGAGCATACTTGGGGACCCAAATGCTAAGTATATCATTATGCTCGGCTGAGGGGTGAGTAAATAGAGTGACATTAGCTGCTTCCGAAAGCTCTTCACCTTGTGAATACGGTACCTGTCCCATAAACTCACGATGCACCGTTCCGATAAAATATTCGCATACTATTTCGTCTTGTTGTCCATGGACCATGGCGACTTTGACCCCCGCTGTTTTGAGATAGATCATATTCTCTGTCGACAACCATTCGTGACTCTGACAAGCAGAACTGTTCAGCTGTATCATCGTGGCGGGTTCACTAACCGCTAAAAGTTTCCCCACTAATTGTGGTATGCCGGTAATTGAGCGTATCATGGCAGCTATTGAAGTGAAAGTAGATGAGGTTATCACACTCTTGACTGGGAGAGAGCTCTGAGACTAGAGAGGACATCCTGCACAAGGCGTAACCCAGGATTGACCTTATGTATCTCTTCTCTTGCAAACCGCAGAGCTACAGCTCCGCCCAGCGAGTGCCCAAGTATGTGTAATGACTCGAGTCTGCAGCAGATAGCTCCCTCAGGGGGCTCCCCTGTAGCATACGAGTAACCCAGTTCTCACTCTTGCGGCGCTCGACTGACTAACGCTTCCACTGCAGCATTGACCACAACATTCATTGAGTCAGGACAGGGCGACGGACCCCTGGACTCGCCGTACTCAGGGTAGTCCACAAGTAGGAAGGTGGCCCTCTATCAATCTCCAACTACTCAACCACTTGTGTCCGGCATGCTCACATTGAGTTCGCCAGTTGAATCACTCCGTCGTACGCCGTATACGAAGGGTAGCCAGTCTTTGGCCAGCATTGCATTTCCTCCTAATAACAACCACACTGCTCTCGAAGGTGGTCTATCAGCTACAGGAGGAACTACATAAGCCACCTAATATCCAAGCACTCACTGCGATCACCATTCGACCACAATACTCACTTGCTTATAATGACTATCCTGCCATTCGACAAGATATGGCATTTCATACGATGCAGTAAACTTCGCGGTTATCATGTTATAGTATCTGATGATCTTTATAAGCCTCCGTCGTAGCATTACCGGCCACACTACTCAGGTTGGTCACTATATCGGCGTCGATAGTAGAGTACTTTGGGCACTAGTTGTCGGATCACCACGATGGTGCTCATACCAGCCAGACTTCCTACACTCAGATAACACTACCAATATGCACGTTGTAAATGCCTAGTCGCTATTAACTCCGTAGGGTGGGGCCGCTATGCCACTACCACCATCACCACAGGATATGCCTCAGTACAATCGATTCCACCATTAAAAGCACCAATGCCGCTCGAGGGGCAGATATGCCATCTCGGCGGCATGACTGGTGTGGCCTATCCCCAGTGGCAACTGAATACATGCTGGAGTTGCGTTCTCTTGACAACGTAGTTGGAGGGTGGCATATCTGCCCCTCGAGTAGAATCGGATTTATTCACGGCGGAACTGCTTTCCACAATTCGTCGAAAAGGAAGTCAGTTCGGATCAGAAGGTGAAATGTTGATCGTCCCACCTCCCCCCTTACGGAACGAATCGAACTGAGGCATATCTTGGAGTGGTGGCATAGGCACCCCGACCAATAGAATTGACGTACTTAGAGCGAGGAAATGTAGCGACCCGACCTACCCAATAATAGTATCCTTTTCCATCCCTTCCCTCCATCTATACCTTTACACTGCTTACCGGGATCCATCCGCACAATGACGGTCTTATTTTATATTTTTGCGCTCTCCCGGCGGAGCGATGTGATCACAAAGCGCCTTTTAGCGGAAATCTACCAGTCAGCAATTTCACTTTTGATGAGATGTGACCGCCTTTTAGCGGAAATCTACCTGTCAGTAGTTTCGCATGGTTATGGTTAGTAGAGTGTGCATCGAGGTGTGTGGTAGTTTTACTGTGAATGAATGAACCCTCCTATTTCGACCACTGAGGACGACGAACTTTTTCTCAAGGAGTTTGTGGCAGCGGCAGAGCAGCATGAAGGTGGGGCAGTGGCGGCAGTGGGTCGTCATGGTGATTGTTCAAGTGATGATGATGCTTCTCTTGTCACTCCCGAGACCAACAACAACATGATTTTGGGTGATATACTTCAAACCTTGCAGCGTTCCGAGACCTTATTGCGATCGGTTCGAGAGGAGAATTCTGAGCTTCGTATGCAGCTTGGTATACTAGAGCAACAGTTGGACAGAACGAGGGAGAATCTCAGAGATCTTACCGCTCGTAAACTATTAGAAACAACATCTACTACTGTATCACCCACTACTACTACCACTGGCGAGGCAGATTCTACTGCTATTCCTGTTGATACTGAACAGGAGATTGTGGATGACGCTGTTCGTGGTACAACTAATGGTGATGGTAATGGCGGTGGATATCCTTCTCCTGTTGGTGCAAGGGAGACTGATTTTATCATGGCTAGCTCTGCTAATGCCAATAATGGAACAACATCTTCGCCAAGGTCCACTGATTCCACTAATCCTGAAAGTAACTTCACGATTCCTTGGTCATCTGTCGTGAAGGGTGTGTTTACTGATACAACCCCTCCCACTAAGAATGACCATACTGCTACTCCTACTATCCCGGTCGATGTTTTTCCTACCGTGGGCGCGGAAAGCGACAAGAAGCGTGACAGTTTTGACAAGGGATATGGTAGTGTGGATAATGATCATGATGGTAGTGGTCCTTGGCCGTTGTGGCGTATTTTGGACATGTTGTCCTGCATCCCTGATGAGCAGGTTGTATGTGTCAAGAAGATCCAATTGATTAAAGCTAATGTCTCTACTGTTCTTAATAAATATTTTTCTTCTTACGGTCACGTTGTGACCATTCTATTGTTGCAAAGGAAGACTCGATCTCATACATCCACATTGCCCCCTAACATGGGATTTGTGGTTATGAGTGATCCCGATGCTGTCAGGAGGATTCTCCATGACCCTGAACATAATATTCAAGGTAACCTATGTGAGACTACTTCCTTCCAGAACAAGCGTAAAGTTGACACCGGGGTTGATACCGTCTTGGCATCTACACCGACCATTGATGGTAGTGGTATTCTGAGTGGTGTCGGTGCAAACTCTAGCTTGCTACCTCGACACTCGATTAGCTCGTTTCCTACTCCTTCATCACATTTGCCGGGCTCATCCTCACCACCATCGAGATCATACTCATCGCCGTCGTGGTCTTGTCATAATGGGCGTAACTCTCTCTATGGCAATCAGAGCGGTATCATCAATAAACATCAATCCGTTGCAGTGCATTACCACTAATACGGATATCTCAGGTTTTCACCGATCGACGGCTTTCCTATGGGTGTTGGTGATGAGTCATCACTGATGGCGGTGAGAGCTAGAGCGAAGTATGAGCGAGAAGTATGATGGGTCTGTTTGTACTTGCACTTTTTTTGATGTGTGGTCATTGTTGTCTAATCCTTTTTCCGTACTGTATCAATAATCTAGATGACAGTTAGAGGTAATATCATTACCCCCAGCCCTCAAATAATCTATAGCAGTTCCAATAGTGGGCAACGTCTGGTAATTACCTGTATTCTCATATTGTCATCTTCCTTAAAGGCCGTCATGATACGAGATATAGTGTTGTTTCCTGGTTATTAGTTGTCCATTGATAACGAGCATCGCTTTCCTGTGTCAATGTATCCCTTGTGTTAATAGTAACAACCCAACTCTTCGTAGTATTAATACTACCCAGGTAACACCTGGTGAATAGCAATATTCACAAATGAGGTTGCTTCGGTAGACAGTACAATCACTTGGGAGGACGATGGTGAGAATCAATTGCGGAGCGAGCGAAGCGAGCGGAGCGTATTCTCTCACTTTACTAACACTTTGTGCGTGCGTGCGTGCGAACAAATTATCCAGCTCGATCTAGAGAGGTTATGATCACATGCTATACACCACTCGATAGCTCTCGCTCTGGGGATACTAGGAAAAATACGAAATTAGGGTTCCGCCCGGACCATGTAGATTTCCGTGCAAAAAACATATTTTTGCAGAAAAACGCCAGGCATGGGAATCGAACCCGGATGCCGAGCTCCGCCCCTTCTCCGAGAAGGCCTAGTACCAGTACTGAACACTTCGTCGGTACTGGCGAGGGTACTCCTCCTGATACCACAACATCCTCAACTGCCCATTCGTTATACCATAACCCACCTTCAATCGATTTAATTTATCGCATGATGGACGTGGTGTGTTCTTTGCTTGCTCTAACTGCTTCACCGAACGGTGACGCTTAGCCAGCTGAATGTCCCGTACCATCGTCCGCTCTTCGAAGTCACAGTCTGCCAACAGGTTATTTACATATGACGTCTCCACAGTCGTCTGGAACCTCCTGAGGAGCACTCCCATATCAGGAAGAGTAGCATTGAATGATTTTACTCTTGCTCAACAGAGCCTAATGGATACTTAGCGGCATGACTAGGTGTCACGTAGTAGCTGATATGCATATCTGGAGTACTCTCTCGGACTGTGTATGCCTTAGTAGGAGTGAAAACTTTGGCCTGATCGGGAGGATGGTAACATGTGATATAATGAGGGCATACAAGACCAGAACGTGGCACACTATAACGCATTTCCTCCACTTCACGTCATCCTACCTATCTACTTTCTCTAATCGGCGTTAATATAGTTGTGTTCCGACGAGGTAACAGGGGAGGGAGATGATTGAGATGGACAACGAGAAGTAGGACGTTCTGTGGCATTACCTCTGATGACTATAGGAATTATCCGCATTGAAATTAGCCAATAGAGTAACGATTAATAGCATGATTATGGGTAGGAACTGTAGAATGGTGAAACCTGAGACTAGGAACCTAACCACTCTACACCGATTGCCGTACATACCACTGGTGTGGTTCTCACGGTGTTGCGGCTGGGCATGTTGAGCATAAAACTGATCAGAAACATATATGTCGATCGTTGTAGAATGGTTATATTACTGGGGATTCTTGTCGTGGTACGCCAAAAAATGCACCAAAGATATCCTGTGCTGTCATAAAATCATCCTAAGAGGAAAGATACTCCCAAGGTACCGACAACTGCCCTACTCCTCGTCCAGTTCTCCTCGTAGAGGAGGAGGATGCTGACTGCTCAGGATCCTTGCCCGTCCGGTCGTATGTGCGACGCTTAGTCTCGTCTAAAGAGGATCGGTGAGCGAGGGTGAAGTGATGAGAGGCAATGAATTACCTGATAACCACTGGAATGCCTTGGAGACCTTTTTGAAGGCTTCCTCGGCCCCTGGAGCACCGTTCTTATCCGGGTGCAACTTGAGAGCCAATTTACGATACCTTAATCCTCTCCATCACGAGTATGGGAGACTGCTCTCGTTCACTACGCTTTCTTCACTTTTCCATCAAGGTCATCAGAGCCGTCATTTCTATCTATTTGTAAGATTTGATAGTAATCCTGAGTGCGTAAAACACGCTGCACTAAATGGTTCTGGTCCTCAGTGTATCTCTCCAAGGTCGATGGGCGTCGTCCGCCAAATTCCCAACCCTGTCTTACGACTTCCCATCCCTATTGGTACGTTGTGGCTCAGCCCCATCCCCTACAGACTCATCTCCTTTCCGATGCCGTATACCCGCAGTGGAGGCAGTAGTCACCTCGGAAGATGTCTCCTCGGCATCGCTACTAGGAGTATCCGTACCCTCCCGTACCTACTACTTCCCAATGGGAAGTTCCCATTACTACCCTCATGTTGATATACATGGCTACCTTTTGTAAGAGGCTTTGAGTGTGGGAATCGTCATACATCCGCAAAGACTTCTCTAGAAAGCGTATACACTTATCCCGATCCCCACTCATGATACCATCATGACCAACTGCTGCCTCCCGAAGCCTCTATTACCTCTCCAGAGCATGCACGGCTATATCCCGGCACCGCTTGGCTTCGTCGCGGTTGGCGATGGACATTAATGTTATGAGGAGAACTGTCATGACAACATACGTCCTCTTGCCATGTCGTAGACCACATGCCCATAGTTCACCAACCTCCACCGGATTCGCCTTCCGCATAGGCGATTCTCCTCTAAACACCTTGCGAGCCTACCTGGTAAAAAGAAATTACTCTATGAACGGAGGATACCCGGATTGTACTACATTGTAGTACAGATTGAAACTTCCCCCGAATTGACATAGTACTAAAGCAAACTCATTGTTTGATACGGAAAATTGTAATGATAAACGATAATGGTTTTATTGAAAAATCTATTCATAAGCTCATTGAGACGCTCCTTGCCGAGCTTCGCCAAAGGGCGTCCTCCCGCTCGGCTGTCGCCGGGCATGAAGGAGCCCTTTCGGAAGTCAAAATACTCTGAGAGTGGCGAAGATAATCTTCACTGGCGAGATAATAAACCACACCGAAGATCTTCTCCACCATCGAAACGGAGCCGCGCTCCTCTTCCCTCGCGCGCATATCCCTCATATTTGGAATATTCGGTGCAATCGGCGAGAGCTACAACTCTTCTGAAGAAAAGCGTTCCGCATTGGAACTTGAGAATGACTTCGCCACTGGACATAACAAAATCACGAACACGGGTCACACTGCTTCAGATAAAGCGGTACAAAACTCAACAGCATATCATATGCCGCATATGAATGAGCCAATGTTCTATAATGGGTATTGCTATTGCAGTCTGCAGAACACGTACGACATAAATTGTGTATATAAGTAGCAGTAGTAGTGTGACGTAGTAGTAGAGAACTATCTTAACTACTACCTAACTTCTCTAAGAGAAGTTAGGTAGTAGTTAAGATAGTTTGCGTCTAAACATCGTTGCGTCTAAACATCGTGCATCCGTGCAGTTTATCATTGCCATTGGTGCACCGTGCACCGTGCACGCATGAACATTCTACAGAGCTTCCACGTCCAATTGCGATTCGCTTTGATTGATATCGCCATATAGATGCAAGCCAGGTGTGAGGCTTGCCTAGGTACTCATATATACAGTACTATTTTTTATCAGGAATACTGGCATGCTGATCACTCTCTCGATATGGAATGACAGGTAAGGAAGTTGGAACTCTTGGTAGCCCAGGTCAGAGTAGTCAGGGATAAGCCACAGTGGCTGCTACACTAAAAAGCGCAATTTACCCGGATAAGACCGCTTACAGAACTCACTGCTGGAGAGTGGACTATCGAGATGGATATTGCTTTCAGAGTAGACGACTTTGGTATCGATGATGCTGTTCTCGGTCTCGATCACGTCGTGGCCTTGAAGAATGTAGCCTCTCGCGAATTCAGTATGCTGTCAGTATTGACTCAATTAAACACTCAAGGCAACTCATCAAAATCTCATATCCCCAATTGACCCGAAGTTGAGTTGTAAATCCATTGTTATCTGGACAATAGTAGTCGTAGTCGTAGTAGTCATAATCGTAGTCTTGCGTGTAGAAGTCATAGTCATAGTCGTGGTTGTAGTAATCATAGTCATAGTCGCGGTTGTAGTAGTCGTAGCCGTAGTAGTAGTCATAGTCGTAGTCGTGGTTGTAGTAGTCATAGTCGTAGTTGTGGTTGTAGTAGTCATAGCCGTGGTTGTAGTAGTCATAGCCGTAGTTGTAGTAGTCATAGTCGTAGTCGTGGTTGTAGTAGTCATAGCCGTAGTTGTAGTAGTCATAGTCGTAGTCGTGGTTGTAGTAGTCATAGCCGTAGTTGTAGTAGTCATAGTCGTGGTTGTAGTAGTCATAGTCGTAGTTGTGGTTGTAGTAGTCATATCCGTAGTTGTAGTAGTCATATTCATAGTCGCGGTTGTAGTAGTCATAGCCGTAGTCGTGGTTGTAGTAGTCATAGTCGTAGTCGTGGTTATAGTGGTCGCAATCGTGGTTGTAGTAGTCATAGTCGTAGTCGTGGTTGTAGTAGTCATAGCCGTAGTTGTAGTAGTCCTAGTAGTCACTACTAGTGGGGGTTGAACGAAATTCACGCACTCATGTGTTGGAGAATCGTCTTTCACGGACTGATGTGATTTTTCCGACTAAGAGGCGGCCCAGCCGCGACTGCACGGAAGATTTGCAAGCATCGCACGCGGGAAAGGAGATTGCTATTAACAATTTGTTGGGTTGGGAGTTCGAAAGTCAATTTGTGCCATGCCTGAACGCGACACATCCCAGATTCTTTAAATCATCAATTTCTCATGGATCTGGGTGTTTAACCGACGCCATCAGCGGAATCGATAGGGCATCTCAGCAGGTTAGTCTATTGCGAGCTCCTTAATCGCACCACCATCAGTGTTATCGATCAGCAGTCATACGTCAGCTTCATCCGCAGATACCCCTCATCGGAATATCCACCAACAACGTCTACATCTCGGTCATCGCCAGGGTCGTACCGACTATCCGATGTCATTGCACGTGGACAGACCGGACCTCTTCCCAAGCAGTTCTACCCCCCGAGCTCCATTCCCATTCGTTCGCTTGCACAGTGACATTGCAGGTCCTTATCTCAGGTCAGTCGATGGGCCGACTCGCTTCTATCTCATCTCCGCCATCGACAGTGCCAGAAGGACATCGCCACTACCCAGTCCAAGCACTGGCGTGACAACGACAACACTTCAGGAAGACTGTACGACAGGTACTTCTGTAAGTCACCGATCAGATCGGAGGTCGTCTCGCCAACATTTAAGCGGCGATTGCGGGCCAGGGCCCACAGATCGTGGCGGCTAACCCCGAAGCGTTCCTGCAATACGGAGACACCAACGTGGAACGCTTGAGGATCATTTATGGGGAGTCGAACATTGTTAGTCAAAGCATTGTAGGCAGCTAGGCGAGTGTTCAAGAGGAGATATTGATAATGATGAGACGGGGCGATATTGAGGAGTTTCAAATGAGCCTTGACACGGGAGATGAACTCGAATACCTCAAGGCTGTGGGCCTGCTTGTCGGTCCCCGTGAACTTCTCGCCCAAATCATAAGACTTAATGGTACGGTGGGGCTCGTTCCCAAGGGGTGAAATAGAAAGTGGGGCAGGAGCGGGCCCTGAGGGAACGGTTGGGCCAGTTGTTGGAACCGGTGGCCTACCGCTCTCGTCACCTACAGCTGGGGCGGCCTCTGGCCCCCCTTCTCGGGCTGCAGGAGGAATCGGTGGAGCCGATCCCGTGGGAGAGGGGGACGGACCCTCCTCCTGATCATAGCCGCCAAGGGCGAGGACATACTCCTCAGTCTCACTCCAAGAGCCAGGGACCTCCTCGAATGCGGGGGAGTCAGAGGGGGCACTCATGGAGCCACAAGAAGGGGTAGAACCCACTGAAAGAATGTTCCTGGGTCTGGGCACCATGTTGTGACTCACTCGGGAATGCCCACTATGAACACAAGGCGATAAGGACTGCTAGTACGGTATCAGTCGAGACGGGACTGATGAATGCGGTAGCAGTGTGCACAGAACTAGAATGCACATGCGTACGCCACAGCTAATATCGATCAGACACTTATATGTGCGTCGCTCCGCTGGACTCCACTACAATGACGCACGCGACGTGGGCCACGTCACGTGGCGATGCGTGATTCCCTCGTATCGATGGATGGGCTCAATGGTGACGGGGAGGGCTCTGCCGAATCTGAGCGGGAGATGAGTCAGTACTACTCTCAGTACTACTCTCTAAGTAGTACTCTGATGGTACGAGATATGATACCCTAAAAGCAGCGAAGGAAGCCCTAGAAACGCTATCGGGATTCAAGGTTTGTAGTAAACTTTACTACAAACCTGACTCAAAGTACCGGATCGGCCGAGCCGGAGTCGGGCTAGCATGACGCTAATAGTTCGATAGTCGGGCTGCTGGACTATCGACCTATTAGCGTCATGCTAGTCACTCAGTGTCACGCTGTGTGGCTGAGTGGCTAGGCACTCACACGCTGACAGCGTGTCTAGCGACGGACTTGTGGTGTCTTTCTCAGATTATGGGGAAGAGAATCCTCGGCGGTCGAGCATCATAACTCGGAACATTCATATGTTTTGAATGCAGTTAAATACACATGAAGCTCGGAATGAAATTCATTCCGAGAAATTCATTCAATGAATGTGTCGGTAATCAAGATTCTTGATTCAAGAGTGTTTCCTTGGATAAATGGAATCAAATCTAAGCGAACCTTTCTATTATTCGAACATTGCAAGTTTGAACCGTTCAAATTGAGCGGTATCTGTGAACGTTATGCTCACAGTCTGTGAACATAACGTTCATTCACAGATGCGTACCTGACAGCTGAAGTCTTCCAATGGGAGACTTCCATAGACCTGGTTGAACCTAGTTGGCATCAGTCACAGTTAGTACCTATTGAGTCAATGGTATTGACCACCTTCCGGCATGTCGAGTCCGGCGAGTCGAGTGGAGGCTCGTCTGATTTTCGACGAGTCGAACTCGGTCGAGCCCGGTGGCGGAGAAATGTCGAGTCGAGTCGAGCCCTGCAGCTCGAATCGTCCGACTTAGTACCTTTACTAAGTAAAGGTACTTACTTGAGAAGGGATGGGAGCCTTATACATAAGTATGTCTGCTGTTATGGTCGTGGGAGGCGGTCTGGTTACAATTGCCCGTATGTTGCACGAATCCAACAGCTCGACTCTCCCGAGGGCCTGAGGTACGAGATAATGCTGCCCGATGTTCACCACCGCACTCACAGTCACGAGCAACAGAGTGGAGGGAAGTCTAGACCGACGGTTCTCAGCAAAGCGGCCTCTAGAGTTGTGGTGGAGCTGCATCGTGAAGGCCGAGCTACTCCCCTTGACACTTTCGGAAAGTGACTTTCCGCAGCTTGAGGAAGCGCAAACTGCTCCCGGACTCCAGGAGTCGTAAGTCTGTCATGAAGGCCATATATAATACGCGAGATCGGCTACCCCAAACTCTCGACAGAGCTACTACTGGTAAGAGCACGGCTACTATAAGAAAATTCTGCGAGGAGCACTCATCAATACCGAGGGACGAAGGAACTGCATACTGCATCGGCTTCGATACTGGCGATCTCACTTACTTCGCATTTTCCTGTCCGTCGCTTCTACTAGCCAATGCCCAAGGTCCCGAATTGGTGATAACTTGCGACCACACAGATGGTCTCTGTTGGCTCGGCCTAGTAACCCTCATCATAGGGAGCATTAATCCTAAAGGAGAATTCAAGACTGTCTGCTTCGCTCTCACCACCAATAAGAAGACCAAGTCGACTGCTGCCATATTCGACTGTGTGAAGCTGGCAGTAGTGGCCCTTGGTGCCACCAAGGGCCACCAAGTTGGTGGGAATATGGAGCCTAGGACCATCGTCGCCGATGGCGCAGAATACTTCACCAAGGCATATGAACGAGTAGCATACAAGAAACTGTCGCCCAGGGAGTCTCCATTCAGGTATTCGGCCCAATAAGTTCGGAGGCTCTCGAGAAGAACCTGAAATGGGATCGAGATAAGATCGGGCAATCTAATAGGCTATACTGCTGGGTCCACATGCTCCGTGCTGTCACCGATAATCTCCCAACTTACGTCAACCTGACCACAGAAGAAGCATCGGATATCGTGCAGGCTACCAGGAAAGATTTCAAGCGCGACATATATGCTCTCCACCGTTGTACTAGCGACTCTATGTTCGAGGATGCCGTAGAAGCCTTTGTGGCGAAGTGGGGAGGAAGCCACCCGAGCCTACTCAACTATTTCAAGGATACCTGGCTATGTCAGAAAGCTACATGGTATATAGGAGTGCACGGTGTGCCTGGGTTTATACCTAGAATCTCAACAACGGTGCATGTAAAGAATGAAGATCTCTGGAGTTGTTCAATTAACCGATTTGGAAACTCAAAAATGGGAATCAAGTATGGGAATATATATGTTGGGTTTCCTCAACCGAGTTTATGGGTTTCCTTCCTATTTTTAAGGTGCGCCTTAAGGAGCAGTTCCTAAGTTACAGACCCACTTTTAAAAGTGGTATCCTTAGTTCGAATTACTGCCACGTTAAAGTGTTGGGGTGGGATGAGGTTGCATTGGGTTGCTGTTGGTCTTCTATGATATCTGAGGTGCTCGACCCCATCCTTATCATACTCCACATGATTCCTCCTTGACGGGACTACCATAGCACTGTTGGACCCAGATCTTATAGGCATGGTGTGATACGTAACCTATCCTTAGGTCAAGTACACATGCAATGATGTGGTCACTAAGTTCAGAGATAATACTTTGATGTTCTACATCTACATATATAGTTATCTTCAGTGTAGTGTCTGCTGAGTATGTTTCAGGTGTATTAGTGGCTGTGAGATGGAGGTCTAAAGCATGACCCATGTCTACTACCTAATGCTGCCCCTACATAGTGTTTTGTCGGCGTTGTGTTATCATCAGTATTACTATTATGGGGTATAATAATATGCAATAATTTACATGTCTCTGTCAACCAGCAAGTTGCAACGAATACAAGAGCTATGTGTTAGAGGTAGTTATAAGCGGGCAGTTGAGATAGCAGTACCACCCAAGGGTCCAGTAAGGGGGGCCTTGGTCCACGCTATGATCACTGGTCTGGCCCGTAGCCTTGGACCGGGGACGTGGACGGTAATACTACCTATTGGTGGCGGTACTTTTTGTACTTTTACTGGACTCAGGAGGATGAGAAGTTCCAGTTAGCTTTGAAGAGGGCCTTCGTAGAGAATGGAGGTAGAGGTTTCTCGCAGTTGGAGCTGTCAGAGAGTAAAGAGGCTTTGAATAGGCTAGGTGTAGGTAAGGGCATCCAAGGAAGCTCGCCGTTAACTGTTGGGGTAGGTAAAAGTACCGGTACCTACTATTGCAATTTCATGGAGGAAGCCCTCGACCCCTACACGCATGGCAGCACATGAAGTCTCCACTCTCATCAGTCGGTCTAGTGAGGAGGGGTGTACGACACTGGACCGGGCTAACCTTACACGGCTCATATCCAATGCCCTTGATGGTCCTAAGGGGTCCTCTAGGGACGTCGCAACGTTGGTATGGGGTTGTGGTAAGTTGGGAATAGACCTGAGGGGGGAGTTGGCACCATTGGTGGGCAGTATGACCCAGCTGTCACCTAAGGATGTGGCCATGGTCCTTTGGGGCTGGGCCAAGATGGCATCATCACTGGATAAGGGAGAGTCATTAGTAGAAGCACCAATCTCTCGGATGGTCGATGACTACTTGCCAAAGGCCCATCATGCCTTCACTGGTGTTGAGCTAGCCAACGTGATATGGGCATTAGCAAGGCTTCGTCACTTCACCCCGGTGTTTACGACTCTGCTGGCACAGGCTACACACCTTTCTACATCCATCTCTCCTACTGCTATTAGTAGTATTGTATGGGCTGCTGGGGTTAGGCTCAATGCTATAGGTGAGGGCCCTCCATTGGAGGTAATCAAGGGCCTCTACCATTCTACGTTATCCTCCCTTTACTTGATGGACCCTCCCTGTATAGCTAGCTCTATATGGGGTCTAGGAGCATTGGGTATGATACAGGAGACTTTGCTGCCTCACCAAGTAGTAGTGGTAGTAGAGAACAATGCCCATGCGTTCGATATGGATAACTTGAAGTCAATATTACAGTTTACCTGGATGGATCCTTCCATCACAGCATGTCTAGGTCCTGAGTTCCTCCAGCGCCTTGCTGCTAGTCCCCAGCCTGTGCCCTGGACCCATAGCCTACCTCAAGTCTGCCTCTACCTCAGTCGAGGCTCTCTACAGTCTACTCTAGAGACTGCACATGCCCTTCACTCGTACCTAGGCAGTCGTCTTAATGCTATCACGCCATCAGCAGTGGATGCGGCTAGACTAGTAGCAGCCTTTTCAAACCTGTCCTATCTACCTAGCCATACCATCCTCACTAAACTGATGGACATAGCCTTGGAGGGTGCCTCTAGTTTCTACCCTAATACCTACTGTATGTATGCAATAGCGTTAGCACAGCTACATCAGACTGGGCACCGTCTGCCGCCCTGTAATGAGAGTCTTACTATTGACCAGGCTTGTAGTATACTATGGACAGGGGTAGTATTGGACATTGATGGTGTAGAGAGTATCATGGAAAGGGTCCTAGCTTGTATTGCTAAGGAGGGTGATCTCCCTTCTCTACCTTTCGCTAGGCAAGCCATAGCAGGCTTGTGGGCCCGTGGAATGGTTACTGAGGCCCAGCAGTTGATAGGAGCATATCCTGCTGGGACACTCACTGAGAACCCAGCCTCGAGCTCTCTACATACCAATATTAGCCAAACATTACGGTCCATGGGGTATGGTAATGTGCGGGATGAAGTGGAGATATGTGGCATCTATAGGGCCGACGTCGTTATCGATGACTTGGGCATCGTTATAGAGTGTGATGGTGATGTGCACTATCTCTATTCCCCAGACTCAGGGTGTAGTGATATTCTTATAGGCTCTAGTGTTATTAGGGATAAGGTGTTTATAAATGCTGGATGGAAGGTCATCAGGGTATCGGTAGCTGCATGGAAGAACTGTAAGGATGCTGCTGGGAAGGTGGCTATGCTGCGAAGGCTCATCAACAACCACAGCTGATGATGGTGATGACGGTGTAATTCATGTTTCTGGATGTCTACAGTTGTGTTAAGATAGCCATCAGCCTCATTATCAGAGTTTGTCCATAACAGGATGTCCGAAGTAGAGGCATTGCTATTAGAGGTTGGTAAGGAAATGGGCCGGACGCCAGAACAGATGAAGCCTATCATCAATAAGTAATACCCAATTACCCTACGGCATCATTGGGTCTCCTGTAGGGTTGTTAATGAAGCATGGTTCGATACGATAGATTCCTTACGGGCTCTAGACACCGAGGAATGGGCTGAGCTGAAGTTGCCCAAGAGGTTGGAGATGGCCCTGCAGGCTAGGCTCCTCTCCCCTAACACCATCACTAGACCTTCCGCCGCTACCACCACCACACAGAGCATCTCATCATCATCCACATCGGGGCAGAGCTCATCGGTCTCTAGGGAGGCTACTACTACTCCTACCTACACTGAAGTCGAAGTGATGCCTCCAGCCACCTTCCTACAGAGTGCAGATAACCTGTTCGATATGGCAAGGAAGGTGATGCTAGTAGTTGGAGTAGTTGGTCTAGGGTACCAGAAAGGTTTTCAGATCGAGCATAGTCGTACCGCGAAGGGCGAAGCGGCAACTGAGACCTTAGCTCTACTCCTACACATAGTGGATAATATACTAGCACAGCCCTCCAACCCCAAGAGGCGACGGATAAGGCTCAGTAATGATAAGTTCGACCCCGCTGTCGGTAAATGCACCGCTGCCATGGACTTCCTGATGAATGTAGTACCCAACTGCTGCTAGCTGTCTTAAGAGGAGTTCAAGCTCATCCCTCTTCAGCTCGGCTTCTGTTTGTATCCATCGTCGGAGCCTGAGTATATAGCCTGCCCAATAGTATACATATCAAGATTCACTGATGCTCACTATGCCCTTGGTGGGACTAAGGCTTCCTTACCCAACACACCAGGTACTGCAGGCCTTAGGATCATCATCATCATCATCATCTTGGTATCGTAGGAGTATTCAATCCCTTCGTATCCTCTATTGGAGCTGCTGGACAAGTGGCAAGTGCCCCGAGGCTCACTGAGAAGGTACCTCTGCACATTGCGCCCTCTGCTGATGATGTGTGTAGGGGCTCGCCGAGAAGGAGGCATTCGCAAAGGAGTTGGAGCGTCATAAGGAGCTACTTAAGACAGGTGGGACCAAGCCCGGCACTATGGACCTCAATCCTAAGGTGGTGTTATTGCATCATCCCACCCTCCTAATGATAGTATTGTAGGTGTTCCGGCAAGGCTCGGCTAGTGGTGGCGTGCCTAGGATAGAGGATGTTGTGAAAGAGCTCAATGGACGTAGTGAACTCCTCGACCAGGATGACGACTTCGAACTTGTGAGGACCTTACCACATCTCGATCACAGCATGGAGGTATCACATCAGATTAAAGCCCAACTTAGTAGCCTAAAGGACTCTCTGACCAGCGCCGATAGAGCCTTCCAGAGTCGAGAGAAGAAGGAGATGGAGAAGCTGAAGACCAGGACTATCCACACAGCAGTCAGTGCCACTCGCCTAGGGCCACCTTAGACCGCTAGCCTTGTCGTAGTGCGTTGTCCGTGTGGCCTTCCCCGACCGTCTCGTACTACAGCTCCAGTTCCGGCCTGCTGATACTCTAGCATCCCTCTACGATGCAGTGGGCCGCTTCCTCAGCCCAGAGTATAAGGAAAAGGAATGGTATGGGCTGATGGGGTCCGAACATCGATATGCTGTTGGGTAGGTACTTGTACCAGACACCTCCTATGCATAGAATACACCGTGATGGCAAGAAGCTGCTGGCTGATGAGGATCTAGTCCCGAGTGCACTTATCAGATGGGGATATGAAGGCTTCTCTGGGACCGTTCAAGGACCTTTTTTGGAGGAGAAGATGGTAGTATAAGAATAGTCTGCTATGATAATGGTGGGGAGGTTGAAGCAGGTGCCCCCACCAGAAGCAGAGGCTCTTGTAGCAGATGGGGCTGAAGGGGTGAGTGAGGAGGATAGGAAGAGGTATAGGAAGGAGAGGACTAAAGGGATCTTGTCCAAGTTCAAGACCAACAAGGTAGACTAAGAGGCGATGGCATTTCAATTTGAATACGACCCAGAAACAACAACAACAATCGTCGTCGTCTTCATCGTCATCATCATCATCTACAGCGGAGCCCAAAGAGAGAGATGGAGATACTGTGATGTTAGAATGAGCTACTCCCACTATTGTAATTACCCACTCCAGTGTGATACTTCAGTTTCATCATCATCGTTGTACTAGTAGTGTTAATAAGAGCATGAGTGGACGCTGGTTGGGACAGGTTCTGGCTATGTCGCTCGACCCCTCAGCCATCCCCCCTTCGGGTGGTATATCGATCTGTGTGGTGGGTGCCACAGGTGCTGTTGGTAAATGCATGATACAATGCTTAGCTGATGTGCACATACCTGTCAAAAGGCTGGCCTTGTATGCCTCTAGTAGCATCCACACATCCTGTCTAGTCCCCTACATCACTCTCTTCAGAGAGGAGTGCCGGGACTACTATCACCACATCATGGGGCGATGTAGAGGTCCAGGAGTTCTCGTTATCCACTGTGATACAGGAAGCCTTCACCGTAGCTCTCCTTGCCGTTAGCGGCACGTTTGCTCAAGAGGTAATGCTTGTCGTAATCCCATCAATGCCATTCCTGTCAGGTTGCGCCCAAACTTGCTGAGGCTGGTATCGTTGTAGTGGACAACAGTAGCGCATTCCGATACGATAACTCGGTCCCCCTAGTTATACCCGAGATTAATCCACAGGCAATGCGGGGAACAAGTGAGCAGCAAGAGGTTGATGATGGGATGAACACTAAGACCACCCATTCAGGCATGCTCATAGCGAACCCTAACTGCACCACAGCAATAGCAGCTATGGTCTTATGGCCATTACATAAAGCCTTCCAAATTAGACGGATAATAATGTCGACGTGCGTATCCTCACTGTCAATCATCTCTACTATGAGGATGATAGATACCAGGCAGCATCAGGGGGTGGGGACGCCGCCTTGGAGGAGTTGGAGACCCAGTTGTGTGACTACGGTACGAGACCGTTGAAGGTAATCACACGGTGACTGTGTGGTCGTATGACTAATTTCCTCAGACTCCCACCGTCTTCCCTCACCAACTGCTCGGTAATGTGATACCAAGGATAGATTCAGTCCAGTCTAATGGGTACTCGGTAGCTCATTCCTGTTCCCGGCAAGGATGGTGGCCGGTAATACCTTTCAGGTACACTAAGGAGGAGATGAAGGTTGTGTGGGAGACTCGAAAGATATTTGATCAGCCAGACCTCCTCATCAGCTGCACTGCTGTGAGTATCTTTGACCACTCCCTATCGTGATCGAGGCTCAGGTACGCGTGGCGACTACGAGGGCCCATGCTGAGTCCATCACGATAGAGTTCGAGAATACAATAGATATCAATAAAGTAGGTTGCCCTTCTTGTGGTAAGTGTTTCAGTGAAGTCCCGCTTAGGCTACTGATGCCCTAAAGGCTGCCCCCATGGTGGTGGTCGAGGACGATCCACAGAATGATGTGTAGGTTGCCATCGTCGTCATCATCTCTACTATATCATCGTAGGTATCCAACCCCTCTCAATTGCACTAGTAAGTTCGAGGTGTCCGTTGGACGTATAAGAGAGTCCATTGCATTCCCCCAAGGGAAGAGTATTGAACTATTCGTGTGTGGAGATCAGTTGTTACGAGGGGCTGCCTTGAATGCTGTGAGTTGGCTTGAATTGTATATTCAGAAGAGTTCCTGGGTAGGTCCTCATCGTGAAGGAATTGGGCCGACAGAGAGGCTGGTTCTGACCTCTACCTGACATGTTTTTCGGTCATTTTTGATAGTTTGGCTAATTGGAGCGAGAACGACAATCGTTAGTTGAGGATGTTATGATGTGCCACGTATTGTGTTGTGTCGATGGGGCCCAGTGTACACCTGGGAGTACCTGTTTACCACTATCTAGGATCTATATCGGCTATGCTGGGATCCGGTTATTCCGCCGTACTACGTTGTCAGGAGAAACTCCAGCATGTATTCAGTTTGCCACTGGGGATAGGCCACCCCAGTCATACCGCCGAGATGGAATTCTCGGGTCAGCGGCATTGGTGCTTCTAACGGTGGAATTCCACAATGTAAAGGGCTGGCTGTGGCTTCTGACTTTCGAATATGCGCTGAGATTTCTGCCGCGCCAACACCACCTTCTTCACTCAACGAGAACATTCCTAGGAAGGGGTGGGAACGAATCTTGCGCACACTTGCGAATCTCATGTTACCTCAAGTATTCGGCGCCCTCTGCACGTGGAGACGATAAAGGGTTGTTGCTCTACCGTGCATACCTAGGAGATCGATCATCATCACCAGACCGCGATTACAGCGTTGGTACTATACCCTAGGAATATATGGAATAAGTGATCCAGGAGGATCCCTCTCCTACACTGCTTGGGGTTGGTCCGCTGCTCTGATGGTCCCTACGAGTGGAGAATTACTCAGGACTCCAATGGCGTGGGTGATAGGAGACTACAAGATAGAGATAGGAGATGGTCGTGGGAAAATGAGATGTAATACAGAGTGGGATAAAGGTAATGGTCCAACGTTTGAGACAAATACCACGATACGCTCACTCTATACTTATATCATCAGCATCGCCATTGAATCGAGTAAAAATGCAACACCCTTGATTATCCCATCGCTCTCCGAACTGTCGTGAACCTCTAAACCGTCCGGGAAGTAGATTCTTAGGGCATGTTGGTGTGATATTTTTCAAGAACATATTTCTTAATGTTCTAGTTCGGGATATCGTTCAACATCGCATCATGTCATCAGTTTGTCATATTTTATTCATTATACCCCATCCCAGCAACACTTCACTAGAAATAGCCTCTCCACCAAATGGGACCAGTGTGTCCCCTAGTGACCCAGAGTCGACCACCGAGCCAGAGGAGGATGTCAGGACAGAAGAGGGAGAGGAGGAGGAGTCAATGGTCTATCCATCATCAGCCCCTTTGCTCTTCGTAACCCACAGGCTCAAGAGCAGTAGTGCACTGATAAAAGGCAGCAGCAGCAGCAGTGATGGTGGTGTCTTCGAGTCTGCTATATCGTATCGTGTACCATACCTCCTAGAGGGCTTCAGTGTTGGCCCTCTAGACCCTGTATCATTTACCACTGCCTTTTGTTTTCGTGCTGCAGAGCCCTGTTTACCCCACCCTGAGGACCCTGTACCTGTCCGGTATGATCATCATCCACCCACTGGGGGGCCCTCAATAAGCTTCTTAGTCTACTCAGCCGCACCATCACATCATCTCGCTGTACAACTAAGTCTAGCTAGGATCTGTCACTTCGAGTCCGGAGCATTAATACCAGAGCCGACCTTGAAGAGGCATTATGGTGAGCATTGGCAGAAGTACATCCCTCCTCAGCTAGGCCCCTGTATTGGTATGCTATGGGTACGCTTGGATGAGGCAAGTACTGCCTCGATAGGTGTAGCCCAACGTGTGAGGCCACCGCTACATGATATAAAAGTGTTGCTACCAGGGTATACCCTATCAGATGCTCTACCACCAGGGAGTGTATCACCAATCCGGACTGAAGAGGGTATGCTAGTGTCAATAGGGTATACTACCTATACGGGATGGGTATATGCTGCTACATCTAGTGGAAGAGGATGGCTACCTATGGGCGCATTGGACTTGCTATTCGGTGACCCATACCGATGCCCATTCACTAGAATAGCCAATGCTATGGTGTATCCTCAGCCTGAGTGTGAGGATACTCTCAAGGATGGTGACGATGAGAGTAGTAGTAGCAGTAGTGATGATGATGAAAAGGATAATGATGATGATGATGATGATTCCGACTTCGCAGCACCTAATAATTACTTCGACAACCCCGAACCAGCACCTTCCTCTTAATAATACCATTCTACCATTGCTTCTCACCATTTCCTCTTCCTGTACCATAAATGCATTCTCCTATCAAAAGCCTCGTGTGTGGGATCTAGACCCAGTATACTTCTTGTTAGTAGGAATGCAGTACTCTCTCTATGGCTTATGACTATACCCCTCTAGCGGCACTACCATCTGTCCCGAATAGGCTACTACGACTCACTGCACTACCTGCCGAGGTCCTCAGGGTTATACTACTATGGCTGGACACCTCGTCTCTATGCACGTTGCAGCTCACTTGTCGAAGACTACGTGTAGTGAGTGATGCTCTGATAGAGAGCATCTGTAGGAGGATCTGCAGTGGCCTTTGTATTGCTCCTATCAGCTTTTGGGGGTCATCATTTTGTTGCTGGGGTAATACTCGGGAGCAGCGATACCACTCTCTTCGAACATCATGGAGGGATAAAGCGAATCGGATGCGTTCATGTAGGGCCATAGTCGTTATCATCATTGCGAGCCCGAGCATTCGTCCCTCTCCTCAGTGTCGTATGCTATGGGAGAGTGCTCTAAGCGGTTGATTATCAATTCAACAGTTGAGGGAAGGCGAGATGCAGCATTCTCCTTTGACCACAGGTCTGCTAGGATAGCAGGCAAACGGTTGACCTTCACAGCGACTACGGTGGGGAGGGTACTGCTTCCTCAGTGTTCTTGCAATCTCCCTCAGTTACTGGGTATACGTCCTGAACTACTATCACAACCCAGTGACGATGAGCATTGGGTACAGGTATTAATGAGGATACGCTTCAATAGGGAAGCTGCTGGTAACTTCTCATTGGGTTTCTGTGATTCCATCACTAGTGAGAATCTCACTGTTGATCGATCCCGTAGTAGAGTATGTGGTAAGGGTATTGCTATGGAGCCAATATCTGGTATTGTATACCACACTGGAACACCTGTAATGGGCAGCATGGCTAGGCCTGTGCCCATAGAAGATCCTGGGGGTAGTAGTATGGATGTGGGGCTATGTATGTCCTTGGCAACCGGAGACGTAATCTTCCTAAGGAGAGTGTCTGGTACAGCAGTATCATGGGAAGGGAGCGTACCTATACAAAGCACCTCCTTTACGGGTAATAATAGTATATGTGTTAGCGCCCTTCACGCCACTGGTAGGTGCTAGTCCAGGGCAAGATAGCTCAAGGAGAGTATGGTATCCTTGCCTCTGTTGCCATGCCCTAACGGAAGGATCACGCCTTACTGGGGAGGTATTGGGTTATGTAATACACACCTCACTGTAGTCCATCACCATTATGTCGAATTCAGGAGAAGCTCACTTCAGCCCAGGTATGGTGTAAGTGTAATGAGGCGAGCAGGACTCTGATGGGGGGTGTACCGCAAGAGGAGGCCCTCCATCACTTTAGGGGGCCACACGGGGGTTGAGCATGCATGGTCCTCTTCACCTGGTATAGGAAAGGGATGAGCCATGATGGATGCAAGGCCCCTCCTTCCGTGGATGACATGATTGCATATTTAACTATAATCCTACCAACTATCCTCCTTTCTCATAGCGGTTGTTCCTACTTACCCCTACTATCGATTGTATAGTCACTTTGCATTAGTAGCCTCTTCATCGTGAGCTAGCTCTGTGTTAAATTAGCCTCTTGTACCCTACTGTAGTCCCTTCATCCCACTTATGGCGTCAACAGATGGTGCTTCGGTCGATCCAGCAGCAGGAGGCAGGCAGTACCAATATGGTAGTATGCCTCTGTCTAGTACAGCGATAAACTCCCTACCCACCCTAGATACGGTCCTTATATCATCCTCTACCCTATTGGATAGGTCGCTACCAGCCTTGCGGTCATTGGCCTCTCTTGCTGGAGTGGCAGCCCCTCTAGCCCGTAGTAGATTGGTAGTGAGCCTATCCCCTCATCGCTTTGGCCTGAAGTATGACTCAAGCACCTTATGCGAAGTAATAGATGATGTATACCAAGCTGCTGGTGAGAATGCTCATCCCTTGTTGGATGTCCAAGTACGCCTTAACGAGACCTTGGAGGTTAGAGGGCCTCAATGCGTCTTAGTAGGGGCAATGGGCCTTATGGATGGTCATGAGGTCGACCTATTGCTTCCTGTTACTACACCTGTCCATCATGCGGGCCACCACAGCTCTCCGCTACCCCACTACGATCATGTCCTCTTTGCTGGTACGTTCGACCACCTCCATGTTGGGCATCGAGCTGTCATAACCCGTAGCTTACTTATGGCTAGGAAGACTCTACGGCTAGCACTGGTAGCAGGGGAGCTACTACAACACAAGAGGCTGGCCAAGGCACTACAGCCTTTCCATGTGAGGGAGAGGGGGGTCCTACAATTCGTCCAAGACATACGTCCTACTGACTGGCACTGTGATGTAGTGATAATACCTGACATCACTAGAGACCCTATAGGGCCAGCCCGGACCCTTCGAGACTTCGACTGTCTAGTGGTCACTACGGAGACAGCTAAAGGTGGTGTTGTGGTGAATGAGGCGCGGAAGGAGGCTGGCTGCCCTGAGGTCGCTATAGTGGAGGTTGCTTTGAGGAGTCAAGGGTCACAGCATGGTGGTAAGGTGAGCTCTACTGATGTTAGGGAGTATATGAGTGATAAGGCAGGGGGAGAGGAAGCCTTGAACGCCATGTAAGGCGGCATGGAGGCTCTCGACCGTCGTTCTAGTGTATCGGTAGGTACGATAAATGGTACCAGTTGATAGCAAAGGCTTGCGCAGTCGATGGTGTTGTTGATGATGATAAGCATGAACAGCTTCAATTGAAGGTCGATGAATGGTGGTCTACACTAAGGGATCTATACCTCCAGCCTTGGCGCTACTATCACACACTCAATCACGTAATACCACTGCTGTTACTACTAGTAGTAACTATTAACGCTGTTCATGATGGCAGGTGGGGGAGATATTGGGCAACATTGAGTCCTCTTGTGTGGGTGAAGGTCCTTTGCCAATAACAGTAGCGTCTTCAGCCCACGCCACAACCACCCTACAACTCACTGCATGGTTTCATGATGCGATATATGTACCAGGCCTGGATGGCAATGAGGAGGCTAGTCAGCAGTTGTGGCTCAAGTTCTGTCTAGATGCAGCAGTAGCCTCTGAGCTTAGGGATGAGGTGTCTGATATAATCCTAGCTACCAAGGACCATGTGTCTAGTAGAAGTATATACCCGAAGGAGGTCTACCCTGCCCTCAATGCCTTTCTAGACCTGGACCTACTAATCCTAGCTGCGGATGAGGACCGGTATAGAGAGTATGCTGAAGGTATACGACAAGAGTACGAGCCTGTGGTAGGAGGCTCTAGCATATATGCCCAACAACGGTGCGAGTTCTTATCGTCGGTGTGCAATAGTAAGAGAGTAATGTTCGCCTTCTGTGGAGGCCCCAGCGAGGCCCAAGCTCGTTGTAATATGGAAATGGAGCTTAAACGCCTACAGCTGCAATAAAAGGGCCATAGACGAGCATTTGATACTCCTATGATTGTGTGATTTTCTTATCATACCAGTGTACTCTTTTTCTCATTACCTACCACTTTGGTTGGGATATTCGTAGTGCTAGCCTGTACACTTTCTCAGTTGTTGTTAACGCCTGGTGTATTCAGTACATGCCTCCCCCTGCTCCTTCATCACCGTCCACACCATTCTCCTTTTCTGTGAGCCCCGAGATAGGACGCTGGGTCCGTCTAGGCCTAGGGGGCCTGTGGTGTGCATTAGCAGGCTATGCTCTAGGCAATGCTGCTGCTAATTGGTCTGCTAACACTCAGTCCACTACTGGGAAAAGTAAGCAGAAAAAGAAGGCAATTCCGGGGAGCACTGATGAGAATGGTCCCTCCGTAAATACCAAGGGTATGGATGTAGCAGTGAACACTGATGGATGGTGGGGTAAATACGTACTAGATGCATCAGATCTAATGGTGGCAGTAGTGGCTTGTGAAGCCCATGCTGTTGGCTTTGGTACACTAGACAATGATACACATGTTCCCGCCTCTACTACTCTGGTATTGCGGTGTAAGTTCCAACCTACTAGCACTGTCGGTGGTGGGGACCTAGCATTCCAAATATTCTTCGACCCTGCTGATAGTTATCTAAGGTTTATATCCAAGTTTGACCTAGCCTCTGCTGACTTGTCTGATGAAGTAATAGCATACACAGCTGCATCTTGGAATACTACTATGCGTTATTGTCGGCTTACTCAATGTGGAGGCCCAGCTGGCACTAACAACGGCCCATCCGATGGTCTCAACTTGGATATGGTAGCCGTTGCCCCACAATGGTTTGCCACACAGACTCATGCTATAGAGTGGCTAGCTCGCCTTACTAAGGTAGGAGTGTAGGATTATGTGTATACCACTGAGGATGCCTTATTGTCATCAGGTATTCATGACATCAATAACAAGATGTTTGGTCCATATAAGGGACTGTCGTAATGGTTCTATGCCCTTCGCTACTAAGGATATGCTTGAGGCTAATACTGTTCTTTCTGCAATACAACAACAACAACAGCCCAACAGCAGCAGTAGCTCCCTATCGAATGCTGCCGACTCACGAGAGTATGCGGCAACCGCCACCACCGGAGTGTTATCATCGTCGTCATATACTCGTTCGGATGGCGATGAGTTCTGTCCCATCTGTCTTGAGCGTTTCGTCCCCGGGGATCTGGTTCGACGACTACCCTGCATGCATGTATTTCATAAGACTAAGGCATGTGATATCGATAAACATTTGAAGAGGAACAAACAATGTCCAACCTGCAAGTAAGTCGGGTTGTAGTATTGGTGGTGAAAGTGGTTGTATTCTTAGACTAGTTGTTGTTAATGATGGTAGTAGTAGTACCCCTCGCCTCCTCAGGACTCCAATTGACGTCCGCTACGACTATTTGTTCCAGGCGCCTCAAGAGGCATCATCATCGCCGGAGCAGCAGCAGCATCAGCTTACAGAAGGTGGAATGCGGCGAAGCAGTGCCTCAGAAGGGGAGACCTCCCAGCAAGAGGGCGATGTATCTGAACATGTTGCCGACTTGGAACGTATGTTAGATGGGCTTAGAGAGTCTTTATATAACTATGAGAGGATGAGGAGGGCAGTCGAGGCATTCTATCACACTACCTCAACTGTAATCCCTTCAACGGATGAGAGTAGCTCTCAAATAGAGCCAACAGTCAGGGAGTTACCACCCATAGGATGGAGGAGGGATAGTGGCCAAGATAGACAAGGGAGCAACGGCCATGATGTAAGTCCATAGAGTGAGTGGATTAAACTGTAACTGATTGATACTGACTGGTATACTCATGCACCCCATATCTGCTCCCCGAGTGGTCTTGATAACAACTGAGTTCATCGTAAATGAGGGTATATCTAGACAGAGAGTCCGGGTGTGCCATACCGATCAAATCAACATGGTATGTCCTCAAAAGAGTCTGTAGTAATATCCTCTCTCACTACTACCAAGTCGAGTCAGGCTTCGGTCTATTTGCCTAATGAATCCACCAGATGAGATATTGTATGTATGTGTCAGGTCGTCATGGATCAGCTCCACCATCGAGAAGGTCATCATCAGCCTACTACAACTACACCTTCACACCGCTTGTTGCTCTCATTGCCTCCGCCGCCTCCTCCTCCTTCTTCGGCTGGTGGTCATTCGGACACCTCAGCATCCCCCGATGAGACAACTTGAAGAGAAGCAGTTTGAATATCCTCATCCACCTGATATTATTACCCGATTGCTTGGTCTAGGCAGTAGCATTTCTGTTGTACACTTGCCTCAAATACTCTCCTTTATATCATTATATGCTTCCAAGCCATCATTGTTGATATCCATCCTGCTGCTATCATCGTCCCCCAGGGGGATTCCCCCTATAGTTATTATTACTCGTGTGATATGGTGATGCTGGAGCTCTCCCTACCTACTTATCTTGAGTTGTTGTCACGAACTCGTTGGTGGTAGTCTGAGTGTATGAGGCTGTGTTTAGGGGAATGATTCCTTGCACTCCTAATGGGTGCCATACTTCCTCTATCGGCAGTACAGCAATTAGCACTAGC